CTTTTTTAGGGGGCCTCATTGTTGGGCCACAGAATTCACCGGCCTGCGGGCCACCAGTTGAAGAGCCCCGAGTTAATAAAATGCTTTGTCAGTTATTTGTTTAAGAAAAGAAAAATAAATCAGGAAAAGTGAACACCAAGCAGAACACAGTCCATGTGATAGATCTGACATGGTGAATATAGAGAAAAATAAAGTGCAACATTTTCTAAACAAAAAGATTTGACAAGAAGCAACATTTTGTTTCATTRCTTTTCAGTTCTTTTGCCTTTTCAAAAGAAAACATGCAAAAAGCCCCTAACTTTAAAGACACTACTTTAACATGAAATTATTGACAATTGTTTGGACTAGTAGTCATCCATWTAATTTATGAAACACTAAATTATTAAACTTTATATTACAATTCGTACAAAGATGATCCGATTTACTGTGTGACAGATAAAGACAAAACAAAACTGTAAATCTGTGGCATGAAAGAAGACAAGAGGGAAACCTTGAAGGCTTTATTAAACTTCAGACAACTATTCTCCTGAGAACCCTGAAATGGTACTCAAAACTAATTACCACATGATCRTCTGTGAGTGTTGTTCACACAAACCTAACTGAGAAGTACAGCAACAGATTTCTGACTGAGCAGCAGTGAACACTGAAACTCCTCTGAAATGACAGTCTGTTGACTCTCTTGTGTCGCCGGAATGGTGAGAGTAAACACTGCCAAATGGCATCATGAAGTACAGTGAGAGCCTTTGTTGTCATTTCATTGGAGTCAAATTACACTGAATTACAAAAAAGAAAATAAAAAACATATATAAACCACAGTCAAACAGTGCTCACATCCTAATAAGACAGAACTGATAATATGAAAATGGGTTATTGATTTAAAAGTACCTACAGGATTKTAAGATGACTAAAAGGAAACGTGTTGCTCGTGAAACATCTACTGTTTAAGTTAATCGGACACAGGTGAGTGCAAAACTTTAAAACATACCACAGCGAGTCGCAGCTCATGCCCTCCTCGTCAGATGTGTGTGACAGCTACCAGCAACATTAAGCTATATGAACAAATGTACAGGTTTACTAGATTTATTTGCTACAAMCTGCTGCTTGCTAAACAGCTTATCTTAAAAAAGGCACATTAAAAAGCTTTTCATTCAGAGTACTTGCCTTTGCAAAAATAAAAATAAAATAAAATAAAAATAAAACCTGTCACAATTATGTCTATTTWCAATTACAGCAAATACTTGTTGGCGTACAGCATGTTAAAGCAAAAAATTTAGATCTTCTGAAGTTGGGTACTAAGGTAAGGTTAGGGCCTTCATACCTGTAGATAACTATTTAAACTACCCTATTTTAGAGAAATATAAATTAGTTTTGACCAGGTTTTTGTATCCTGGGTAATCCGAGCAGGAACTGAAGTAGATAGCTGTTGACTTTTTTGTTTTTTTCAATCTAAAATAAAAAAGAAATTAATACATGTGAATTTGATTAACCATTTAACAATCAATTTTAYACTGCAATGTATTTTATGTAGAATWATTAGGGAAATTGCAAGTACAAATTAACTGCTTTGGTGCAGCCTGAGATGGTATCTCATCAGTCCGGTCAGAATTAAACTCCAGAAGGAGWTCATTCAAAAAGCTGTCTACAGCAGGAAACACGTGATTTAAAACCTTTCCACAAAGCACCACTGCAAAAGATCTAAACTATCACTTTAGATAATTACTATCACATCAGACAAATATTGTACACACACAAAAAAACATATTTACATACTGGAACCCTGACAGTTCAAGCAACTGTTGCAGCTGTATTATTCTGATTTAACCTGGATAAATAATTCCACTGSTCTGTCAAACTCTGCAGCACGGACTGTGTGAGAATTTTTTTTTCTTGTTGCCATATGTGATTTATTCTCAAGGCACAAAAGGGATAAAAAGAAAATTAAGTGGGGCAAGATTCTCTGGCTGATTTACTGCTCTCAGTTAACCAGCTGGGGTATATTTAGGCTGTAAACACAACCACACAATCTGAATCAAACTATACAGATACAAAAGAGTTGACTCTCTTATGCAAGACAGGGTTTTTGTAACCCAAKAAATAGAGAGATGATGAACCTCTTTTTTTTCTAGGAATTGGGAGCATGTTTTGATAGCATGAAAAAAAACTTTATACTTTCTATTGGATCGCACTTTATGCTGTTGTTGATTCTTCTCAACTTCTTGGATTTATATTTATGAAAGAACCTTTTCTGACTAATTAGGTAACTTTTCCAAAATGTTCACGTTACTAAAAAAAAATCCAAAATGTTCTCAACATTTTTGTGAAATGCAGGGTTAGTTTTCTATAAACCAAAATCAAATGTATTATTGTGTACATGCTTTATAGTAAATGTGTTAAAACATGCAACAAATACGTGTATTTGTCTAACACACTGAATGACGTATTTCCTGTTATCTTTCTGAGRAGCCAAATGTCGCTCTCCATAAAAAGTGGTTAAATGGGACGCAAACAAATCTGCTCAAAACTTCATCAGCCCCTTTTCAAAAGTTGGGGTTAAATACTGGACAATAATTTAAMAAATAAATAACGTTAATGGGTTTTGAACTTTTAAACATTCTCCCATTTCCCCCTTTTTAACACATCAATCTGATTTCACACATCAGGACTAAACATTCAAGCCACAAAACTAATGTCAAGCTATGACATATGTGTGTTAGTACACGTATGCGTGGCTGTGTTACAGATGAGGAAACTCATCTGGTTTCACCTCAGATTGCTCTCTCGGGTTTCCCACAGCCAAGAGGTCAGTGCCAACACTGTGAAAAAAAAAGCCCTGATACTGCTGTGACATTATGTGGCCTGGGAATCACAGTGGTGTCCAAAAGGCAGAAAGGAAAACAGAGAAACTGTCAGGTCAACATAAGCTGTAGTGTTCCCACTCAACATGTAAAAGTCTTACTAAGATGTTATGAAAGCTATTTTTTCTACCTGGCCTAGACTAGAAATAAATAAATACAAAAAACATACAAGTAGAAAACAAAAAACAGAGAAAAAAAGAGGGCGCTGAGGACCATAGTGGGCAGGAACAGGCGTTTTATCCGAAGTGCTGAGGACTCTTCAGGGGCCAGATGAAGCAGCAGGTCTTAAATGACCTCCCTGCTATTCCGAATGGCACAGCAGAGCACCATGCTGAAGATCATTCCAATGATCTGTTGAGAAGAAAAACAGAAATCATCGTTTTTAATCAGGGAAGAAGGATTTGTTGATTTTTCTAGTCGTCTGACTCACCATGACTCCAGCGACACCGATGCCTAAGTACCCGACTATGAAGAGTTTATTGTTGAAGAAGTCTTCTATTCCTGACTCACAGTCCTGCAGGGTACAGATAAGAACAGTAAGTGCACTGTTTCAGTCTGGCAGGAAGTTTTTGTATAATTAGGAAAACAAAATCTGATGACAGACCTTTGTTTCTGGCTCAGAATTGGGACACTTGTTGCTTTTGATTCCACAACATTTCAGCTGAAAATTTAAGGAAAATTACAGCGTTATTGTGTTTTAATCAAATTTCTGTTTAATTCTGCAATTTAACATAACTCCCCTTTTTTAACTTACCACATTCTGGTAAGAGAGAATCAACGTGCCGTTACTGTTTTCATTGTAAGCTTCAGTGTAGAACTTCTGCACGTTTTCAATTATCTGTGTCAAAGAGGGTAATCGTGTTTGGCATCATTTGGAGTCGTCAAACATCATAAAACCTGATTTACACTTCTAAATCGGTCGTCAAATAAATGTACCTTGTCTTTATTTAGGAACGCAAACACTCCYGCTGCCACTTCAGATCCGAAAATAATCAGCAGGCAAGCAAAAAACTGTGGAGTAAAATAATCGGCAGATGATGGTTTTAGTTCATGGAAATACCATTTTTAAAAATGCCAAGTGTGTATTTGTACTCACTGAACCCAGAAGGCATTGAGATTCCCTGACAGCTCCACAACAGCCGAAGAAACCGACAAGCATTATGAGACTGCCAGCACCAATCAGAATGTACACACCTGGATTAAAAAAAACCCCAAAAAACAAGAAAAGTGATGCTTTATAAACAAAGCATTAAAATGAAATGAGCAACTTTAATGTAAATGATTGATTCACAACAATCTAATTTAAAAACACAAGAATAAAAGTTTACAACAGTGTATATGATGGGGTTGGGTTCATTAGATCACTATATTTGCTGCACACACTCAACTTTTTTCCATCTGGTTCACGTGGCAGTGATGTCATTTATCAGAGTCAACCAGAAGAGGGCAKCATCGAGTTAGGAAAGTGAGTGGAAGCAGTGTGACTTCCCAACATTTCACTCTACCATTCACTTTTACTGTAAGACGTTTAGAATTTATTCAWTGACTTTGACATTCTGATTAAATATAGATCTTGTGCAGAAACACTTTCTGATGAGAAACTGATCCATTCCGCTCAGACAAAATACAATAACAAATAAACATGCATCATAATGCAATAAATAAATAAATAAATAAATTAATTAATAAATAAATTAATTAATTAATTAGAATTAGAATTAGAAGTTTACACATATGGGGTCCATTGTGAGAAAAAAGCCCCAAAGAGGATGAGCTGAGAGGGAGAATATGTCTGAATGTGAAACCAACTCAGGTAGAAGGAATTAAGCTATATCGGTCAAAAAATCAAAAAATCAAAAAAAAAAAAGTTCTGTGGGAGTTTGGCACTCAGGAAATGAGGCGTAGCAACTGYCTTGCATCCTGAGCCATGTCTCTGGGCACAGACCTCTCCCTGAGTGGAGCGTTATGGTCTCAGAAGGCTTGTTTAGAGCCACCCATCTTCTCTTTCCATCACATGGACATTTGATTCTAGCTTTTAGTGAGTCACAGACAAACCTAGTGACACACCTTTACTTTATTACAGGATTTTATGCAAAAAAATAGTGTTCAAGAAAGTGCAATTACAAAACTGGAAGTACCAATTAGGAAAAGAAGGATGTTTTCGACGGTCAAAATACCTGATATTACAGTAAGATTTATACAAACAGCTGGAGTGTAGGAGTACACACATCCAGTGTGTTCATTTTGCTACATTTAGAGTTGAACTAATTATTGACTTTCCACAGAGAACCATTCCTCTTCTTGCACATTTTTTTCAACGTTAGTTTGCTTTTGTATCAGATATTTTCCATGGACCCTTATCTCTGTTTACAATCTCTCTCTCTCTCTCTCTCTCTCTCTCTCTCTCTCTCTCTCTCTCTCTCTCTCTCTC